AGGCCAACCGCGATCTGAAGCTGCTCTACATCGATGGCACGAGCGCTGGAAAGACCACCATGGGCACGCTCGACTCACAGGACCTTCTCCTTCGCGAAAATACCACTAACCATAACGAGCGTGGTTTTGACGAATACCCTCGCGCCCTGGATCTTTGCGACTTGGTAGGCGATTGGGGTTTCGACGGCGTGATGCGCATGGAGGCTGGGTTTGAGGTCATTTACTGCGACTTCAAGGACGGACTTGACCTCATCAGCATGACGCGGACCATGATGCCAGAAGACAAGGTTGGCGATGAGTATATGGACGCTTTCCAATGGGTGAGGGCCGTTGGGGAGCGTTACAACGGGCTCGGCGATCGAATTCGATTTGACTTTTCATCCATGGTATCGGCCTTGTTTTTCCCAGTCAACATCACGAGCAGCGACATCGACCGGCCTGATCTTGTGCGCCTCGAATCGGTGAGCCTAGATGACTTGAGGGCCATCAAGAAGTACCTGGCCAAGGTAGTGGCTCAGCCCCGGAGGTTTACAGTCAACTGGCAGGGTGTCATCGATCTCATTGTGAGTCGTTTTGCCCAGAGGTTGAGCTCCATGGCGTCTGAGTCGCTCCCGTGGCAATACTTCATTGACGAGGTCGAGACCATCACGGCGACCTGGTTCGATGCCGCACCCTTGCCGGAAGACATTACTCTCTCGAAAAGGAAAGAGATTAACAGGACCGCCGACGGTATCGATCGATGCAGGAAGCACTTTCTCCGACCGGCGACAATAGCCCGGAAGGAGTGGAGCTCCGAAGACCAGCTGATATTTACGTCCATCGACACCGTGATGGAGAATGTCTGCAGCACCCTCTTCTCCGTCCGAGAACTCATCTTCGACGCTTCATCCAACGCCCTTGCTAGCAACAGTAACTACCAGGCCGTTGATATTAACGACGACTCAGGCTTGCAGCAGGCAGCCAGGATCGGTCGAACAGTGGTACAGCGATTGATGGAGGAGCTCGGCTGGACGACCTGGAAGCAGCCACAGCCATGCCCGGCCGACGAGGTGCTCTTCATTGCCATGTGGCCGTTTGGGAGCAAAAATGATCACTGGAACCCGGGGTGCCGGTCGGTTGATGGACTGATGCAGTCCCGGTACAACGAATCGTATTGGAGGATGAACTTTGGAGGTCCGGGAGGGCCCCCAGATGGGGATAAGCCGAATGGAGGTAAACCGTAAATGATAAAGATGAATCCTGTAGTTTAAATAGCCCCGAGTCATGGATATATAGGGAAACATAGCAAGACGAGAAATGGTTTTTATCCCGCGGTTCCTATGCACAAGGCCTTGAACCAGAATTTATCTCGTAGTCTATTGATCTACCAACGTGTCGCACCATCGCATCGCAGTCATCCAGCTCCAAGACAAATTGCTAGGGCGGCTCCCAAGTACTCCAAGCCACCACATGGCCCCTCGAGAGCAGGTTGGTGTCTCATATCTATTCTTCCTTCAACCTTTAGTGCTGTTGGCCTCTGTGCTCTTCTTATTCTGTGCGTTCAATTCGAGATAGAGAGTGAGCTGGGACTTGGCATTGAGTGACAGAATGCGACCGCGAATTGGATGGTCATCGGCGAGTCCACTGTCATCAAATGAGGCTGAAATGGCGCCGAAGAAATTCTTGATGTCTTTGGTAAGGCTGTCACTTTCGAAGCATGGAAGAGTGACATAGGGAATAGAGCCCTTGCCAAATGATTAGCTAGGTCAAGTTTTCGGTTGCTTTGTCTTGCTCACATCGTCCATCCACCGTTGATGGAACTCGATGATATAATCCCAGTGTTTGCGCCTCAGCTGGCTTCTCACGGTCGCCTGCTCGCGGTTTTCCATCTTCTTCCTTTGCTTTTGGTCGTTTTCTGTCTCAAGCTCGGTTTCGAAATCCGCTGGGTTCTTCTCAGTCTTGGTGGGTTCTGAAGAGGGGGAAAGTCGCAACCGGAGACGGTCCATAATCCTAAGTACCATCCGTATTAGAACTCGGAGCTGGGGATACAAGGCCAAAAGACGAGGGGGTTGAGTTGGAAATGGACGAGTAATTTTGAGCAAGGTGGACAGGCCAGATCTAGATCAAGAAATTGCAAGACTAGAATTTGTCAACGTACGCCGTCATCTCGCAGATGTTCTGGAGCGTTCTCTCCTCTGAACGCTTCACGATGTTAGCGGCGACGGCCTCCGGATCAATTGTGCTCCCTGGCTCTCCAGACAAGGACTGTATAATATCAGTCAGGAAGTCTATGAGCTCCATTTTCTGGCTAGGCTCGGGGTTTTCGTTCCCTCTCTTATTGCGGAAGCCAGGCATGATAGGTACTCGTTCGGGGTCTGGAAATAAGAAACCAGGATTCAGAGACGGAAGATGAAGAGGAGAGCTTCTGTCACCTGGATGACTGAGGAGGGATTCAAGATAAGTAGGAACAGACAACAAAGGCGCAACTAAGCTCAATGGGTCCAAACACAGTCCACGTACGGCCAGTGTCGGCGGGTGCAGACAGCCCACACACGCCAGCATCCGTGTTTGCCTCAAACAAGATCTGGGCGATCAAGAGCAATACAATCAAAAGCGCATGTTTCCATCTAAAGCCTAGATTTTTCTTATCTTCAATAGTATCTGGTAAAGAGTATTGCTATTCGTATATGTAGCTATATCTCTCTTATTCCGCAAGCATCGGCTCCACCAGTGCTCGATAGGTGGGTTATGGTTCCCTATCCTCCGCCTTAGATATCTTATCGCTGTCATCAAAATGCAAGACTATATAATAGACCCAGAGGTCTCAAATAAAAGTGCGTTTGGCATTAGAGGTCGAGAGGGCCAAGTGTTATACTTTGCGGTCTTTGTGTCTGCATTATTATCTTTTTATACACTCGGAGCGCCAGCTTAATCTTCAATACTGAGCACCTCTCCAGTGCAGCGTCGCTACAAATAAGCAGCGCGAACGGCGAGGTTCGCTAAAGCCGTGTCGCGAGCAGTGTACTCACAAGAGAACCTGTGGCTGACTAGACGTCGTACGCACTGTTTCTGACTCGGACTACTTAGCCAGGACAACTGAGTGAACGGGAGCGAAATTGTTCCCTTCAGATGACTACCTTCAGAGAACATCGGGCATTCTCTGGGCAGAACTGAAAGGTTCTTGCCCTCCTTGGTCCCGCTCCTTCAAAGTCTGCGGAGATGAAGAACCAAAGGCTTAATTACGCTTCGCATCCGCGCAATCCGAGGTAAGTGGGCGAGATCCAAGCACATTTAGTTACGTGCCTAATGCTTACGGATCTTTAGATAGGTTCTGGAACATCGATATGGCCTCCACAGACAAAAAAGCTTTCCCCAACCAGTTCGCTATCAGTTGTGGTGTCGATAGATGTCCAGAGGCCGAAGGTACTCCTCATTCGCCGGCAGAGAACAGGCGAACACTTCCTCTCGAAGGGCCACAGAGACTTAGATGAGCCCCTCGAGCAGACATTATAGCGAGAAACGTTTGAGGAAACCGGGATACGAGCTCGACTGCTTCTTGTGGATATCGACACCCTGGCCATCTTACCGTCCTCCGTCAAGGCTGAAGGTCGCCCGAAAGGCGTCACCTAACCAATGGCCGTTTCTCAGCGCGTGACGAAGAAAATTCCGAAGATCATCTTCTGGTATGTCGCTGTGGCGGACTCTACCACTGCTCGGGACGAGGGAACGAAGCAGGAGTACGAGGAGTTTGATACTGTTTGGGCGGATTTCGACAGTGTCAGCTCCACCTTATCCTTCGATGGCGTTCGACGCATTACTCAAGCAACTATTGCCGCATTTTGTAAGGAGCGTCGCCAGCTTCTTGAAGATAGCTTAACTGTTTCTCTCGGGAAGGTATTCGCATTCTCTTGCCATGGACAATCCCCGTTAAACCGGCACATATCCAGCAACCTATCATCTCAAATCCAGATAGACCCCCCAAAAAAGTGTAATACGAAGTCCAGAACTTAAGACATCGCTCAATCAATCTCGCAAGGCTTTTGTGACGGCCTCTGATGCCGACGATGTTGTTTCATCTCTACTGGGCTCTGCTGAAACTGCGCAGCTGAGGTTGGGTGCAGAATCCGTATCACATCCGAGGAACGCTTACTGTTTTAAGCTAATGAATTGGAGTAAGGATACAAGGCTAGCGCCGAAAGCCGGAAGAAGTCGTCGCTGAAGGGCAAGGGCAAGGGCAAAGACAATGACGGTCGACTACGATGGATTGGATGTCGTCACGTTGGCGGCCTTGGTTGCAAAAATACAGGTTGACTTGGGAAGAATTCTAAAGGGTTTAGCTTTGGAGTTTTTATGTTAGGGTAGATCGACCGTATGCGCAATACTGATGGATTCGGGGTGAGATTATTATATGACCTGGAAGCTATTTGGTGTTTGGGGTGTTGGGGCAACAGGTCTTTAGAGCTGATATCGCCTGTGCCCTTATGAGCCACGACGCAGACACTTGAACTATGGAACGGCACTACTTGATCTCTTCCGAACAACCAACGCAACGGCTGCAGCTGTTGGTGAAGGCGCCCCTTATGAGAAACAGAGAGAAATAAAAGAACAAGCCAAATACCTCGCCTTCAATTAGATCAGTCTCCAAAGAGAATCTGAGGTCTTCAGAGCCCCGCTCAATACAGCTATGCGTAAGCTGATCTTAACTGATGACAACTACTATGAGCTGGCCCGAGAGCGAGAGAACCGGTAACACATTCTTAGAAGCAGCGCTCTACAAAGCTTGATAGAGATGGTATATTAGAAACAATGCGCCTGGGCAATGGTGAGTCTTCGTCGGGGCATTCGGCGACGGGTGGGTCCGCCTCGGATGCTGACTAATTTTCGCCGGACCCACCCTACGGGCGCAACCAAAACCTCGGCCGGATATCGCGCATCGCAGCCAAAACACCCCCCAGGTGGATTAATCAACTGCAAAATGAGGAAAAAAGGAATGCCATCTCTGCAAACGGACAAAAAGAAAGCGACCACGCCAGGAGTCGAACCTGGAATCTCTAGAGAATTGGTGAAATCGGTGAACCGAAATCTAGCGCCTTAGCCATTAGGCCACGCGGCCGATGGGAGATGTTGAGGTTATTCTTTAACATGAATCTCCGCTCCACTGGGTACGCCCACCATTGGGTCTCAGCACTCCAAAGTCTGGGTCCCAATTGGCCATTCGCCGCGTATTCGCTACGCAGTGTTCCGCGGCATCTCGCTCTCTCGGATCCTCCGCTCCGCCGTTCCCGACTGACAGCATGAAAAATCCTCCACCCGGTGGCCCAGAGCAGAATTAAACATCTCCGACAGTATGGCTTATGAATTCCTGATTCCCGATTCGCTCGAGCGCTTCGTATTTCACCTTTGCCCCTGTTGGCCATGTGAGCCTGAAAACCCGGCACCTAGGGCCGTCCCTCTAGTTCCGAGCAATCCTCTGTGTCCCGGCTTGGTCCGAGTCTCGTAGTGGCAACGTCAGCCCACTGTGTGTCAAGCAAACCCTAGTTCCTGGCCCGTGGCTGACTCCAAATAGACCGTGTTCCTGGCATTTCCGCTTCTCCGCACGCTCTCTGCGTTTATCTGTTCAATTGCCTGTTTAGGCGAATATCTCAGTGCTTGTTTGCTGAACCCCCGTCGAGGAGGAAAATGATGCAGATTATGTTGCAGTTTTTGGCAACAACGTCAACCACAACCCGGGGAAATTGAGGACGGCATCCAATTCCCGTCGGTCTGACTCGCAACGCAACCGAGCTGCGCCTTAAGCACTGTAATACACAAGTCAGCCATGCGTCGCGGCTGACAAAAGCTGGGTCCCATATTGACTTCCCCGCGGAGATGTGTTGCCCAGACATCAGACCATCCACTTGGACCTTGGACAACGACCCGTTCAAGCACACATCCCGCCGCGATGTTCGGAACGGCGAGCTAGGACATCGCCGCCATTGTGCAATGGCATGATGCTGGCAACTGCAGAATAGTGCGTAATGGTCTTTTGCCGGGCCTTGAGTGGTTCTTCGACGACGTATATAAGGACCCTGAATACCTCGTCGTGTAGAGAATAGTCCACATCATCACCACCACTATTTGCATCACAGATCTACTCAACATGTCTCTGACACAAGCCCAGATTGCCATTGTCAAGGCCACCGTGCCAATCCTCAAGGAACATGGCAAAACCATCACCTCCACCTTCTACCGCAACATGATCCGCGAAAACCCCAGCCTCAAGAACTACTTCTCCCTGCGCGCCCAGCACACGGGAGAGCAGCCGGCCGCCCTCGCCCGGTCGGTCTTGGCCTACGCGCAGCACATTGACGACCTGCCCCGGCTCCAGCACGCCGTGGAGCGCATTGCCCAGAAGCACGTTTCGCTCTTCATCGAGCCCGCGCAGTACGACATCGTCGGCAAATACCTGGTCGCCGCGTTCGGCGAGATCCTCGGCCCCGCCCTGACCCCGGACATCAAGGAGGCGTGGATCGCCGCCTACGGCCAGCTTGCCGGCATCTTCATCAACCGCGAAAAGGTGCTGTACGAAGCCGCTGGCGACTGGCAGACCTGGCGCAAGTTCAAGATCGCCAAGAAGGAGGCCGAGAACGAGCGTGTCACCAGCTACTACCTCGAGCCTGTTGACGGAAAGCGTCTTCCCACGTTCCTCCCCGGCCAGTATGTCAGTGTCCAGCTCCCCATTCCGGAGCTGGACGGCCTCCTCCAGAGCCGACAGTTCAGCCTGAGCGAGGCGCCCCAGGACGGTGCCAACCACTATCGCGTCAGCGTCAAGCTCGAAGACACCATTGAGAATGCGCCAGCTGAAGACATCGCCTCGGGCAAGGTCTACGGCCTCATCTCCAACATGCTGTACAGACGGTACAACGTCGGCGACGTCGTCGAGCTCAGCCCGCCCGCCGGCGAGTTCTTCGTCGACCCGGCCAACACGGAGGCCGCCACCAAGCCGCTGGTCCTCCTCTCGGCCGGCGTCGGCGCCACTCCGCTCGTCTCCATCCAGGACGCCGTGCTCAAGTCGGCGACGGGCTCGCGGCCCATTACGTGGATCCACGGCGCCCAGCACTCGGGCTCGTCGTGCTTTGCGCCGCACGTCCGGGAGACGGCCGCGCAACACAGCAACGTCCGCGCCAAGATCTTCCTGTCGCAACTCCGCGACGGCGACGTTGCCGGCAAGGACTACGACTTCACCGGCCGCATCAACCTGGAGACGCTCGAGAAGGAGGACCTGCTGCACCTCGGCGACAGCACCGCCGAGTACTACGTGTGCGGGCCCGAGGACTGGATGGTCGATGTGCGGGCGTGGCTCGAGGGCCGCGGCGTTCCCTGGGATCGCCAGCACCTGGAGCTGTTCAAGACTGGTGATGTGTAGAGGGAGAGGACTATAGGCGAAAAGCGAATATTGCGCTTGTGTATATTACCCTGCGGGCCGTTGATGGCTGTTTTGCATTGGGGGCGTTTGGCATCATCGGAATTGCTTGAGCTATGAATGCATGCGAGCATAGAATCAAGCGGACTATCTTAGATACCACCCTGCTCCAATAGAGAGTTCTTTACGATTGATTGATTGCATTATCAAAGTGAGTTGTCTGTCAGGTTACCAACGGGTGCGTAGACACCAAGGAATGAGGGCGTCCCTACGACTCAAGGGGTTCGCCCTCAACGAATCAGCGCTGATGAAGCTCTGTACTTTGTTAGACAGGGCCTAATTAAAGTATAATTCTCGTTTCTCCCAACTTGATGCAACACTAAGAAATAATGGGTACGCCATCATCAATGTCTCAACGCCTTCTCGCTTACAACAACGCCACTCCGAGCCCTCAGCCAGTGTTGACTCAAAGGCATGTCCACAAGGCTACGCGCAAGCCGGCGGTGATGAAAAGGAAATTGGCTGGTATGCATGTTGTAACCAGTGCACAAAACTACAACGCCCTCACATGATACATGATACGGTTGCCTTTTGCACAGACGATGGACCACCAAGCCCTATTGTAAGTCTCTCGCAATTATAACCGGTCCTAAGGGTGCGGTCATGTCGCATACGGCCGGGATCGGTGTCTTAAACCTGCATGGCAGTTCAAGATTCGACACAGCTCGAATCATTACAGACCTCGCATGCACTTCATTCTCCGATAACCCACATCATCCCGGCTTCCAATCGCTCGCTGCATGCGGGACGGGTAGTCAACCTCTGCGCCAAATACGCGAAACACCAACCAATCAGCCACAGCCAACTTGACGGCCTTATACCATCCCGACACATTTCGGACAGACTTAGACCCAAACTACGGTGAAGATGCCCCGGAGCGAGTCATGTCTCGGCTTCACAGTCTTCCAGCCCCTCGGCTCTGTTTTATACGGAATAGGCTCCAAGGCGGCCCTGGGGTAGTACAGCGTCTGCTCGAGTCTGTTCGTGTTGCACATGGCGTCAAGTCGGGGAACTTGAGAAAATGACGAGCCGCCACCGCTTCTTGAAGTCCCCAGGTTATTTATGTGTGGTGATTAAACGTAAGACACCCGTTATGGCCGACCAAGTCAGTGTGTTGGACCAACTCGCTCCAGACTTTGAACTGATCGCATCAAGTGTTTAGCTATACCTAAGGATATGGAAACCTGCGACTCCTAGGACAGTGTCATCTACAACGCGAAAAGCCCTAGCCAACACGTGCTTATCGATGCCGATCCCTTGGACTGGGTCGTGGCTCCCATAACCACCCAGGTCTCACCCTGTGGATGCAGACCAGATCCGAACCGCCTCGTTCAGGGATACGTGCAGCACGAGGCCTACTTAGGCGAGGCCTTGCAGGAAGATGCTCGCTCCAGTCAGACTCAGGGAGCAAGAGAGCCCATGGTTGATGTCTCACCGCAATGCAAGATCCCTCGAGGTGATGGTGATGAGCGTGCAGAATCGGGAGCGCGCAAGCCCTCGGCCAGGGTCGTCCGCGCCCCTTCGATGCATGTCCTTCGCCTACCATACGAACCCAGCAAGTGAGCTGGACGCAAATGTCTCAAGCATCAACAATAGCAGGTTCCGCCACGCGCAGAAAGCGAGCATCTGTCTCTGCCCGTTCGGCGCCGACTTCTTAAACCTTCTCCCATGTCTCCCCTCTCCCGCCCTTCCCCGAACCGATGGCTATGACCATGGCCGAGACCGTGATCCGCAAGGCCTGCGATCGCTGTCACGCCCAGAAGCTCAGTTGCAAGCGCTACAACGACGAGACGTGCGAGCGTTGTCTCCGGCTCAAGACGGAGTGCAAGTCGAGTCCCTCTCTCCGGTACAGGAAGCAGCAACAGCAACAACAACAACAACAACAACAACAGCAACAACAAACTCAACATCATCACCAACAACTTCCCGTCTCTGAATCAGCCTCCAGCGGGTGCCGCTCTCCGAAGCGACGGCGGACCGACAGCGATCCTAGCCTTGTCTCACCCGACGCGGGTAAGTGCCTCCTTAACCCAGGCCCGAGAGAGCCCATGTCTTGAGCGTCTTGGCCACCGACTCACCGTGTTGCCGAAGCACTGCCAATAGTACCCCATTCAGGCGGCCTGGAGTCTAAGAGTCACCTGGTCACACCCGATCCTGCTCTGGAAATCGGCGACTTCAACTTCACCTTTGACCAGCTGGGGCTATTCGCTCCCAACCAGCCTGAGTATTTATCTCATCCCGGGCTCCCGAGCAGCGTCCCCCAACTCAGCCTCCATCACCAACCTCTTCAACCTCTTCAGCCTCCTCAACCTCCTCTTTCTTCTCTTCCTCCTCCCGTCAGTGTCTTTGCCGACTCTCCCTGGGACCCGCAGCCGACCTCGTCCGCCGACGCCTACCCACCGGTCGCACCAGGGCCTCTGCTGCCACCATCAGACGGATCCCTTGCCCTCCAGGCTGTGGCCCTCCAAGGACCCTTAAGGAGAATAGGTTGTGCACCTGCGCACGACAGCCCTGACAAGCGCCCACGCACCCGGACGAAACAACGCCCGAGGCAGATCCAACTGTCCGACCGTGTCGAGGCTGCACCGTTGATCAGGGAACCACCCACGATTCACTGGATGGCGCAGCTGTCCGACATCAACGCCCAGATT